TTTGAGAGGATGTTTATGAGATTTAAAAGTTTGATTTATGCATAAGGCAATATGAAATGCTTTTTTAAAAAACCAGGAGGAACCACAAGCCCTAGTACAACAACACCTATTGGGGAGGAGGGCACCACAGCCAGCAAACCCAGCACTGGAGCTACAAGCCCAGGAACTTCAGGTAAGTCAGGATGTGTGCCTAGTGTCTATGAAGTGCATACAGTAACAAAGCATGTAGGCTGTTGGGTAAACCACGAAAATAACAAAAATATGAAATTTTGCCTGGATCTTCCTATCTCCTCCTTCAGAGGAAGTAGCATGCATTGCAAGCACTGTTACTATGTTTGTCAGGTACAACAGGAGAGTCTCTGGGAACAACCTCAGGAGCAGGCAGGGGCAACACAACTGGACAATCGGGCACTGGGGCCACCAGCACTGGAAGCCCAACAGGTATGAGACACACTTCCAAGGGGATTGTGCTGGGATCTAATAGAAGTTGTGTAAGATCTCCAAATGTGAGAATAGATATAGTTAAGGTAACAATGGAGAATAGGAAATTATGACAAAATTGAAAGTATGCAGTGTCCTTCAAAGAGTGTTTTCTTCCTAGCTCTCTGTGTAGACTAAGCACCGTTCTTCTTCCCATTAGCAACAAAAGGAGGAGCTGAAGCAACAACCACTGTCTCTGCTGGTAAGATCACATCTGGAACCACAGGTACTGAAGGAGCATAAGCAGGTGAAATCCAGGCAGTAGATGTGAAAGCTTTTTGCCCCAAACCTATTCAGAGACAGTGTTACCTGGGGAATCTGACCATTATGGTTGAGGTGTAGCCAATTCTCCAGAAAATCATGAATATATCAAGTCTGAGTTTTGTTCTTAATACATTTTAGAGTCACTGTGGAATATGGCGAAAGACTAGGGAAATCTAACTGATTTTATCCAGTGCCAAGTGGGAAACAGAAAAATGAACAAACATCTAGGTGCACAAATTAATAAGATTAACAGGATAATAAGATAGCAATGAAGACAATAAGTAAGATAGCAATCAAGGGGAAAAAGATGCAAACTAGATCATAAGACAGTTCTAGTGTACCAGGAAAACATCAAATTTAATCATTTATTGATACGATTATGCTATTTTTAACAATAACTTAATTGAAACAGTACATTATCAGAATTACTTGACTTACCTTATTTACCCTGAGAAACAATGTCAGATTCCAGTGAATTTTATAGGGTAAATCCATCTGTTATCTTAAAGCATATTCCAGATCATATTGACCAGAAGTCCCTCCTTTAGGTTTCTTAAGCTGACTTCTTTTTTTATTTTTCCCTGATAAATCTCAGGCACCCCTGGAGCTCGAGGTGGCAGCACACCTGGAGAGGCAGAGACTGCATCCACTGGTTCAGGTGAGGTGCACTGTTCTGGTTTGATGCATAAGCATTTATCATCCATGCCCTCCTGCAGCAGATGCTGATTTGTAAAATCAGGCCCTAACTTGGATTTCATTGTTGGACCCAGAAAAGTTATGAGGATCTTTTTCTTAATTTTCTAAATCTGGAGACTCTCAATTATTTATGGGGTTTGCAGGAATAATATGATTCTCCAAACCCTATAAACTGGTCTTGGCTCTAAAAACCATAGAAGTTTCTCAAGGCCCCACCAGTACTACCCATGGAGACTCAGCTAGAATAGCCACAACTTCTGCTAACAGCCAATCAGGTAACATAGAGGGTGTAGTCCATGCTTTTTTCAGGGTAAGATGGAGTGTGTAAGTGTGTCCCAGTTGTTTTCTATCGAGTTTAGTGAAGAGTAGAAAGAGGTAGAAGGGAATGAAGCATGAGGGGCCAAAACACTTTACCAAGAATTTCTCAGATAGCAGTGTGTCAGCTGGATTAGATGGTCTTTCTATAGTATCACACAATTGTCCCTGTTTGTGCTATGGTCCATAATGTTCATGGGATCCTTGACCTGGAGCTTCGGATGCTGTGAGCATGTAGCAACAACATAGTTTGCTGTGGTGGTTAAAAATAGTATTTGAATAGAGAAAATTTTCTATCATAGACCCATTGAACATGAAACTTTGTCAAAAAGTTCATATAATCATATACTTTAAAGCTTCAGTTGCTTCTAATGTTCAGCATTTGGTGACAACCACTACTCAAATAAGTGAATAGTAAAAATATAGATAGCTGGTGCTGTGGTCCATTCCTGTAATCCTAGAAGCTTGGGAGGCTGAGGTAAAAAGATTGAGAGTTCAAAGTCAGCCCCAGCAAAATTTATGCACTAAGCAACTCAGTGAGACCCTGTCTCTAAATAAAATTCACAGTAGGACTGGGGATGTGACTGAGTGCCCCTGAGTTCAATCCCCAGTATCAAGGAAAAAAAAAAAAGAAAGAAAGAAAAACGTAGATAATAAGGTATCCTAATTGTAGGATAATATAATTAATCTCACTAAAGGAGTCTGTCATACAGATTATATGTTCAAATTTAGAATTTTTGGAACAGAAACAGAGAATTATATAGAAGAGTGAAATGTATTTTAAAAACAGCATGATCTACATAATCAAAAACCTTAATATTATTCATTTTTTGATTTCAAAGGTACTACTGGAACATCAGTTGGCACAACATCCAGAGCCTTAAACAATGAAGTGACATCATCTGAAGGGAACTCAGGTTAGTAGAGAATGATTTCAGTGGTCCTGATTTTGGTCCTGTTTTGAATCAAAGTAGTTGAGATGAATCTAAGGAGAACTAGTTCATTCAACTCAATACAAAGAAAGATGTCTTTGTTAAAAAAATGCAATAAACTGATTTGAAACATTTAAGAAAACATTAAAGCACTAAGTCATAAGCAACTCTGGGTACTAAGTCACTGGATGCATTTATTGGAATTTTAACTCTTTGTTGTGAATGGACAGTTAGATTACCCATTGGTAATAAAGTCCAAGTAGACTGTAGGTGAGACGTTCCTTTGGTATTCTTCCCAGGCTCTACTGGAACTTCAGTTCCCATCACCTCCACAGCTGGAAGTGCAGGCACCACAGGAGGACTGAGCCCCAGCATTACCAGTCCTGGTGGTACATCAGGTAAGCCCAGTTCAGAGCAAGTACATTGGCTTCAGCCAAGAAAATGGTTTCAGGCAATGCTGCTCAGACAATATTTTTCCAAATCGAATACCTGACTTAGGTGATTTTCCTCATATAATTAAAATTTAATTTCATTAGCCTTTTGATATCATTAGCTTTAATATATAATTAAAAATTAATATCATTAAACATTCAACATGTTGCTTCCATTTACCATATTATTTTACAAGTACATGCTCCCACTGATTGTTGCAGTCCTTATGCAGGTTTGTTGGCTTTTTTGCCATTTGTAGTTGTATCATTTATTTTCAAGCTTCATCAGGGACAATTAGACTGTCACCAGGTGTGACTTTAAGAACCCATAGGAATGTCTAAGCGACACAGCTTTCAATCAGGTGAAACAAATATATAAGTTCAACACAATATTCCAGACAACACCTGTTTAACTATAGCAATCACCACTCTGAGTACAGTCTAAAACAAGGGGGCCAATTTAACATTTGCACAAGTCAATTACATGACTTTGTACAAATCATGTAAGTATTTGCACTTGAATATGAAACATAAATGATACACATTTTTGTCCTTTAAAATTTCTGATTTGCTTTCAAGTATATTCTTTGTTAACATAGTCAGGCTTAGCACATTATATGTGTTTATTGTCATGAGACGAGAAAATAAAAGTTCCTAAGCTTACAAAGTCTGGTTAGAACATGAACTCTGAACCTGATGGACAATAGCTGCCTTCTCAATGGTGTGACCAGTGTAATATAGAGCTCATTTCCAACAAAAGCCAAGCAGAATATGCTGTGGATGCGCATTGATTAAATTCAGTTAGTGAAGGACCAGGAATACAATACAATTGACAGTATTGGACATAGATAATTTAGATTGAAAACAAACATGACTCAATTTCAAACACTCTGATGCCATCCATTCCAAATTTTCAGGGCCTCTAAAGTGTCTTCCCTTGTAGCCCATTTTTTCTGTGTTTTATTCACATGTTAAGCCCCTTCCCCAAGTTCCTGCAGTCCTCTGCCTTGTTTACCTTCCTCCTTTAACACCATGGTGCTCACAGTGTGGTTCCTGTACCAGCAGCATTGGAATCCTGTGGGATCTTATTAAAGGTGCACATTTCCTAGTTCACTAGCAGAGAATTGGAAAGTCTACTGGGTGGGTGGAGCCACTCAATTTTTTTAGGGAATTGATGCTCAAGGTAGAGAAACAAATCTCCACAGTTCCCACTCTTTCCCAACTTCACTCCCAGTTTATACTCTATAAATATCATGTCAGAATGACTTTTCCAAAGCTCACCTCTCATCCTGTGTCTGTATTATTTAGAGTACTTAAATAGTTCTGATTTCTTTTAAGATAATTCAGAAATTTATGTAGCATTAGGAGGCCTTTGTCTCATGTATGCATATTAGGTCTTATAAATTTATTCAAGAATCTATGGGCCTGTTGTGTTTCTCACACACTCATTTTTGGTTAGCTATTGATTTGATTTAAAATTTATGATGAATAGTCTTTTGCATAAGCTATAGTTTTTGAAATTACTGATTTAAATGATATAGCTTATGCATAAAAATAATAAAAAAGAAACTTGGCCCTTCCCACTGGATCAGTAAATTTATTGAAATTTAAAGTGTTGATCATTTTGTTTATATTTCAAAAGTCTGACTCAGAATTACTTGGTTAATAAGGTTGTCTCATTCAGAGATATTTCCCAATTATCAGACAGTAAAGTATTTGAACAAGGCTACTGAACATTGGTCCATGAATGTGTGGTTTATTGTGTTTGTTAACAGCCCATGCTGAGATCAGAAGTGAAACACAGAGCAAGCATTTGGAAACAGAGAATTTTAACATAATAATATTTTATTGTTGAATAAAAATTTGTATGTTATATGGTCTTATTTCCTTAGATTTTATATTAGCATTCATTTTATA